ATGCAGTTGCACTGCATTCTCCTCAGCCGCCGCACTTGCAGTGGGGCAGCAGTGATGCTGGTGGGGAAGAGAGCAAATCCTTAGGGTATGTTGTGGGGTTTGGAGCCTCAATTCACCTTGAGCATCAAAGCAATCCTGATTTTGTAGGATAGCTCTGCTTCAAACATCAGAGCAGCTGCCACAGGAACCTCTAGAGAAGGAATCACATGAGGCACTCTGCACTCCTCGCTGCTGTACCCTTCCACTTCCACTACAGGGAACTCCTTTCAGGCCAGTGTGGGATTTGGGGTTGGATAGCACTGAATCTATTACAACCTACCAGCAATCCTGGCCTGGGAAGAAGCTGTCCTCAAAGGACAAACCACCCAGCGTGTGGGCAGGCATGTTCTGGCCTTGCCTCTCCCGCTGGTCTCCATGGGGAAGCTTGCTTTGTTCCTCAGCGGGTGAGCAGGGAGCACCTTCAGTGCGAAACACATGTGAAATGCTTAAACTATGCAACGGTTTCCATGTGTGCAACATTTTATCCCAACAATAATGAAAACGTTTCACTAATAAGCAGCTTTGATGCATTACTTCACCCGCTAGTGCTCCGAGTTCACATCTTTTCTCTATAGTGACTTTCTTTCTCCCAGTGACTAAAGGAGAAAGCTTCTTGCCTACAGGTGTTAACCCAGGGCACAGCTGAAACAGAATTTATTAAAATAGACCAGAGAAAAATGACACGCCACGATAACCACACAGCTGTAAACCCTGGTGTTGAGCATCGTAACTGCTTACACATCTCCTTCCAGAATTAAAAAGAGAACACTGACTCTGAGCTAACCAGAAACAGTATCACGTGCACTCTGTGAGTAAGGCCAGAAGATTTCAGTTTTTAGTGCTGAAGTTCTTACCGCGAATTGCCTGTGCCCTGATGAATTGCACTTGGTCTGTTACGGAGAGATTCGGTGCTGCTCAGCGGGTGTCAGGACAGAGCTCTGCGTTACAGCCTGCTCCTCAGGGACACCTCAGAGTTAAAACTTGAGACTTGCAATATTTGTCTGCAAGTGGAGCTTTCTGATAATGCCCTGCACGAGCGTCCTTACTTAGGAAGGACAGCAGTTCAGGCTTTAGACCTCTTTGCTGATGGCATGAGCTTCTGAGGAGAAAAAAGGTGCAGCTCTGCAGGGCAGCAAAGCCTCTGAGGAGGTGTACTTCCAACCCAGCTGACCCGAGAAGGGGGAGCCACCCGTCTGACATCCCACCTTTCAGTCCTTTCGGGGCCACAAGTACTCTAACACAGCATTCCCCTACCTACTTGTTCTGTGGGGCTTCTTGCCCAGCTTTGAAAAGATCGTGCTCCCCTGCAGCAGGTGTTTGCCCAGTCCTTCATCTGAGCCGCTTTGCGCTCACAAAGTCCCGAGGTATGGATGCTGTACAGAATGAGGAATGAATCTCTAGAACTGGCTTAAATTAAAGAAAGATTTTCCATGGGGAAAGCAAACAAACAGACAACAAACCATAGCTAAAAGTACTTTTGTTGCCATAGGACTGCCTGTCACACACATAACAGTGCCCTCCACAGCCTTTCCATTTTCCTGTATTGTTAGAGGTGGCAGAAATATGCCCAACTCGCCCATAAACCTAAAAAATCTCCAAGTCTCTTTCAGTGCTTGGTTTCCAATTTGTGCCCCACATGTGGGGAGAAAGAGATGTACGTACATGGCTCGTATTTGCGAAAGTCAAACAGCGGTGGACTGAATTATAACCTGCATGCATATTGGTGGAATGAGATGCTGATCCATTTGCACAGTAATGTGCTATATTTAAGTCACGCATCGTGGCATCTTCAAAGAGGCCAGTCATAATTATGATGGATTAGACTGCAGAGTCAGTCCTAGATGCAGTAATTGTTTCACAGATGCTGCTGATGTGACTTGAATTTCTAATGAATTATAGCTGAGGAAGAATATGTAGAGCTACTAAATGGCCTGAATAAAATACAGTTATGGGAAAGAGAAAAATGCCTAACCGCTAACTTAGGGAAAGGCAGACCTCCTTTGAGGGACAGACGTATCACCCCACCACAACAACGAAGTGCAAAGACTTTGTACAAATGCAGAGACTTTGTAAGGCCCAGCCAGGTCTCTGAGTAGCAGCGTCAAGAATATCTTCACAGTGCCCTAGTTAAAACCAGTAATAAAGGCATGGCTGCCACTTGCCTTTTGCCAGTTCTAAATTGCAAATAAGCACTGTGATTGCTTGAGCTACATCTGTGCTAAGATGCAACTCAAGAGGAGTGCAAATAACAGAGCGTAGACAGAGACCGAATGTAACGTAAAGTCACCACAACCCCAGCTGCATTTTAAAGAACGTAGATCTGGCGCTTTGAATCAATGAATTAATTTCGTATTTTGAAGAACTGAGTGACTGTCCTTTGCAATGCCTAAGACCAATGCCTTCTACACCGGAGTTGATCAGAACTCAGGGGAATCGGTTGACTCACACCGTGAGGTGTTTGAGAATCCTGTGAATAGCAATCCTCGCCACGCAGTGAAAATAACCTTGTGGTTTTTAAGGGCAGTGTGAACCTAAGACTCTCTTCTGAAGCCCAGATGCATTCCTTCAAGGGGTACGCTAACGTTAGGCAAGTCAGACTTCTAAACAAAAGAGGTGGTTTTACCTATTTGTAACAAGCCAGGAAGCAAGATCATCTGGGAACTCTTAGGTGGAATTAAGCTGTAACCCATCTGGTACATCAGAACACGACAAACAAGACAGACGTTGAGGGCTGAAGGAAGTTTCTCATGGCTCAACCACACCGACTAATTTTTATTGTTTGTTTTTGAAGAAATAAATATTTTAGAAGCAGTCTGACAGCGCAGTGTTAATTACTACGGTTCCTTTTATTTCATTTTTGACTTGTGAAATAGAGCAGCCTACACACTCATGTCTGAGCTGTGGTTCAGCTGCAGTTTCTAGGAATGAAAGGTGTGAAGGCAAAGAATGGTTTTCAAATTAGGCTGACATCTTATTTTTTGAGACACTCTGGGAGCGTAACTCTGCCGCCCAGCCGAGAATGACACATCAGAGGAATCCTTCTCACGCTGCTTTCTCTCTAGCGTGGAATACAGTCTCTCTGGGAAAGCTGCAAAGGCTCATCTCTCGGGGTGCTTTAAAGCTAGCTTGGGAAATATACTGAAATATATGTAGAAGGGAAGAAGCTTGCCTTACCTTGTCAAGAACATAGAGAAGATGGACAAACGTTCTTTTCCGTTGCCATATTCTTAGCTTTCACTTCAAAAGCTCTTTTTTTAAGTCCTGATATTTGCAGAGAGAACTTCTCTGTTTCCGTCACACAAAAGATAAATTCAGTACAGAAAGTAAAGAACTCCAGGAGGTCAAAAGTAAATCTAAGACCTAGTTTGGGATAAGGATGAAGTGAATCCAAGTTGTCATGTAGGTGCTTGCCAGTCAAAATTTATGTTTGAACTGTCCTGATACCAAAATTAGAGGTGTAAGCGGATGTGCTTCTGCTGGAAGTAATGAATCTTGGGCATTAATACTACCTTAAAAAGCATTTTAGGATCATATTGCTTAGTTGAGTAAGGGAATACTGCACTGAAAACTGTATCAGTTAGATGTTTCTTAGTATATATATATATTTTTTTAATAAGATTAATGTAGGATATGTACATAAGCAGAGCACCTGTGATGACAGAAGTTTTCCAGCGTAGCAGTTACTCCTGTGTAGTGGCAATGGCAGCCACGTGCGGTGCTGGTGCTGACTCTGCAGTCCGGCCAGGCACAGCCTGGAAAGGGAGAAGCCTTCGAATTCGCATTCACACAAACTAAAAATAAAGCCTGCAGGGCAAAGACGTGCATGAGTCCAAATTTTCTGTGTGATCTCACATCTGGAAGACCCTCTGCCAGTCTGTCTTCTGTCATTCACAACTGTTTGAGAACCATCAAGCCAACAAAGAATAAATTACAAGCAGAGTCAAACAATGGCTTTATGTTAACCGGGATTGTGAATTTTCTGTGAATTGTGAATTTTCTATGAATTATCTCCATTAACCGGGATCTTGGGAAGATCCACGTGAACAGAATTAGGTTGTCGCTATATGGGATTTGTTCACTGCACATTGTCAGTACTGTTAGCTAAAGGAAAAACTACTTTTATAAATAAAATATAAAGGTCAAAGAAGAAAGTAGGACTTCATCTCCAAACAAAGAAGGAGCTTTGAAGCTCAGTTCAAAACCCTAATGCAGAGTTTAAGCCACGCCTGATGTCTATAGTCTAAATTTAAAAGAATATCAATACCTGAAAAAATATCATTTCCATCAAACCTTTCTGAAACCTCTTAATTTGTTTCTATCAACATTATCAAGATGTTGATGAAGTGTAAGAATTCCTACGGATGGCAATCAGGCGAGGCTTTGTCTCATGTGTGGATTGTGCCACTTGCGTGGGCTTTTGGAATGCCAGTTTTAAAAGACCTTGTCAGACAGCTGAAGACTGAAAAAAGGAGGTTTTCCCCTCTAATTGGCAAGCTTGGTGGCAATAATCCTTCAAGTCACACAAAAGGGGTTTGGCACACTTAATCAAATAACAGGATTAGCACCGAGTCTGGGAACCAGGCTTTCTGCATGACTTTCTGCCTTACTAAGGAGAAAAAGCGGCGACAGGGGAGCCTATGCAGATCATTCAAAAGCAGAGGGTGTTTTTTCCACCATTATGAGAGCTCTTTTTGGCAAAACAGCTGTTTGTGTGTTCGGTGGGGGTGAGCAACGGGTCTGTATTTTCACACTCTTTTCATCCTGAAGAACAAACCTGCAGTAAGGGGGACGCACGGAGCTGCCAAACCCAACGAGGCCGTGAGCCTCCCCTCAGGTGCGCCCGTGAGCCGCTGCCGCGTGTAGAGACGGGTCGGGACGGCGGGTGCAGGAACCAGCAATCTGCTGTCTGTTGAGGGAAACGAGACCTGACTTAGCTCTCTCTCCTTGCTTCTCTCTCGCAGATACGTTCGGAGGGTAGCCTTGTGGATGGCCCCGGAGCAGGCCAGATGGAACAGGACAGAACCAAGCATGTTGACGGCAATAGATTGAGTCCATTCCTAAGACCGCAACCTTCTCCCGTGTGCCAGGCAGAGCCTTCGGCAGTGAAGCTACAGAATGGAAGTCCGGCGACAGAGAGGCCCGAAGTCGAGCTAAATGGAGACCACAAGCGGCTACTCATCAAAAGCAACTACGGAGCGCCCCACGCGAAGGGAAGCCCAAACCACCGCGTTAGCCCCGACCTTGTACAAGAAATGAAAGTATGCTCCAAATATATGCAAAACGGTGGGATTAAACGCACTTTTAGTGAGCCCTCTCTGTATGGACTTCATCAGAGCAAGAAGGCGAAACAAGACAAAGAGGTGAACGGAGAAAAAGCTGAGCCAGATGATAACTATGAAAAACCAAGCGTCTCCAATTGTTACGGCGAGAAGAAAGCCGAGAGCTTTACAGGACAAGGAAATGAAGCCTCAGAGTTGATACCGTCTACAAGATACAGCAGTGGTGGTTCTGAAAACCCTCATGACCTCCTGATCCAGAATGAGCAGGAGCGGGAAAACCTTCATTGCCACAACAGGGACATTGTCTTACTACTTAAGAACAAGGCGGTGCCAATGCCTAATGGTGCTACAGTTTCTGCCTCTTCCATGGAAAGCATGCATGGTGAACTCCTGGAGAAAACACTGTCTCAATATTATCCAGAACATGTTTCCATAGCAATGCAGAAGAACACATCTCATATCAATGCCATTACCAGTCAGGCTACTAATGAGTTGTCCTACGAGACAACGCATTCATCCCATACCTCAGGGCAGATCACTTCCCCACAGACCTCAAACTCTGAGCTGCCTCAAGTGCCAGCTGTAGTGGTTACTGAGGTCTACGATGCAGAAGACTCCAGTAAACCACCTGTATTGCCAGGTAGCTGTTCGCTTCAGAAACCAGAACTACAGCTACAGCAACAGATCCCGGGCTATGATACACACCAGTTATCTGTAGGAAACAGTACTGTGCATGGAAGTGTAGGGCAGGTTCCCAACCAAGACCTCTCTCTAAGTTCCAGCAGTAACCTGCAAGCTCAGAACGCCGCGCTGGAAAGGTTTTCTGAGCGAGCAGAACATAATGGTGCTTTCTTTAAACAGAACTCAATGTTTCACAAAGATTCCTCCACTCCTCCTGCTCCAGAGATGAACAGCGCGCTGCCCGGCGTGGCGCGAGAAGGACGCCGCTCCTACGGCAACAGCGGCGAGGAAACTCCTCCTGGAGAGATCGCGGGCGAAGGGCAGAGGCAGGGACTGGTGCTAGAGAGTCCCAGCCTCGGCCAGCAGCAACTTCACCCTCCGCAAAGGCTTCCGCAGCAGGTGCCAACGCCGCAGCAAGATGTCAGCGAGAGCAATCCCCGAGCTGCTGTGGCCACCTTGCCTCAGCAGCACCCAGAAGAAATGCCGCCGCCGCCGCCGCCGGAGCCTCCCCTCCCAAGCCTGCGGGCGTGCGGAAGCGACGGTGAGTTGCCACGCTGCCAGCATCTCCCAGGACAGAGGGAAGCTGAGATTCCTCCCGACAAAGAGAAGGACCAAGCAAAAGAGCCCGTGCCACAGCCTCAGCGTTACTCGAAGCCGGCCTGGATCGAGTTGGTCTCCACGCAGTTCCGCCAGGGAGAGCCTCCCCACAAGCCCAGCGAAGCGCTGCTCCGGTCAATTCTTCAGTTCCAGGCAAACGCACCCGAAACAGCCTACAGCAAGCAGTATGCTGGAAGCCCTGATGCATTGAAGGGGCCGTCGGGACAGCCCCAGAGCCAGAAGATAATGCAACAGGAACAAATTCCCCCGCTCTACAAAAGCGAGGCCTCCCAGCTGCAGCCGCCTCCCGCAGCTGACCCCCAGCTGCTGTTCCCAAAACACTCGCCGCAGCCCCAGCTCGCCAAGGTGGATCCCCCCCTCCAGCCCCAAGCTCAGCAGCTCCATTTCCAGCCGAGAGCTGAACAGCCAGCCGAGCAGCCCCTCGGGGCCCCGCTGAAACAGCAGCACTTGAATCCCCCGCCAGGGGAAAGCGAGCAGTTCTTGCATTCCCACATCTTGCAACAGATGCTCCAAAAGCAGGCGCAGCAGACCCAGCTGCCGTGCGCTCCGCAGCTAACCCCCAGCCAGCAACAGGCCCTGCAAAGGAGAAGTAAAGAGCCGCCCCAAGCCATCTCCCATTCCCAAAGCGCCCTGGAGCAGCAGCTGGACAGGGCATCCTTCAGCCAGCTCAAGGCAGATGAGTGTTTTCAGGCTGGGAACAAGTACCTGAAGCCGGCCGCCTTCCCGCTGCACGGCGCTCAGCTGGGGCTAGAGCAGGCACAGGGCGTGAACAGCAAGGCTCCCCTCTACGGGCAGAAACCCAACGCCAGCCTGCAGCATCCCTGCCCGAACAACGTGCACTTGATCTCCGAGAAGAAGGAAAACGCCGCGCATGGCGAGCGCTTCGGGGCCAAGAAGATGCAGGACTTGCAGCACGCGCAGTATTTTCCCAACAGCCTGCCCCCCAAGCAAGAGGTGAACCACTGCTTTCAAGAACCAGAGCAGCAGACGCAACAAGCTTCGGTGATCCAGCTGCCGCTCCAGCAGCCGCAAGGCTACGGGGGCAGCCTGAACCCAGAGCTCCCCAGCCACCAAGCCCCGCAGCTGCCCCCGCGGTACTTACCGCACAGCCAGCAGGCTCCCCCGCACGCCCCGGAGCAGAGAGGCTGCCATCTGCAGACCCAAACCCAGAAGGATTTTCAGAAGCACGCTGCCCTAAGGTGGCATCTCCTACAAAAACAGGAGCAGCAGGTGTACCAGCAAGCCAAACCCGAGCTCGGCCCCAGCGCAGCACGCAAGCCGATCAAAATTGAGGCTGGCACAAAGGCGAACGTCTGCATGCGCCCGTCTGCTGGGCAGCTAGAAAGCAAAATGTGGAAAAAAACAATTAAACAAGAGAATCAGCACTTCGGCTGCGAGAACATGCAACAAAAGAGCATCATCGAGACAATGGAACAGCAGCTAAAACAGATACAGGTCAAATCACTGTTTGATCACAAGACTTTTACTGTCAAATCGCCTAAACATGTGAAGGTTGAAACAGCAGGCCCTATCACCATCCTATCGAGGAACACCTGTGCTGCAGAATTTGACACTCAGACCCCAATCTCGGAACACCAAGCAAACCCGTCTGCTGAGAAAACCCCGACCAAAAGAACAGCTGGAACTGTTCTCAATAATTTTTTAGACTCACCTTCCAAGTTACTGGATACTCCTGTAAAAAACTTATTGGACACACCTGCCAAAACCCAGTATGACTTCCCATCGTGCAGCTGTGTCGGTAAGTGCTGGGAGGTGTACTGCAAGCATGCCAGTTCGCAGCAGGGAAACGAGCCTCCGAGCTCAGATTGCAGGGGTTACTCGGCTGTTTTTGCTGGAGGTTGGGCTTTTTGTTTGTCATAAGAGCAATTAGTAAAGGCTTACAGCAATTTTTCTACACTTAGGCCTGCTCCGCTTAGCCAACCCTACGCGTGGGCCCTTGCTCAGTATTTCCTGAAGTTATCCACTTGCTTTTACAGTCAGAAAGCCTGCGGACGGTAACACATTCCCTCTCTCCCATTCTCCTTAAGCAGCAGACATGTAATAACAACACGCTGATAAAAAGTAGGTCACAACTTTATAATCAAGTGTCAAGGCTAGACACAGTGTTTGTAAAACATGTCTTGGGTCCTACACTTGTGATCCTTACTCCAGTTTTTGCTTTGGCAGTGAGATTGTTGAAGTTTGCCTCAGTAAAACCTAAGCAAAGAAGGAATGCTAGATTATTCCTCGCTTGTTGCAAGAGTTTATCACCCTGTTGACTCATTTGTCTACTGCAAGGCTAAGCAGCTTCTTAGAGAAGCCACACAAGCAGCAAGGGGGACCCTTGGTATTTCTTCACAGCACACCCAGTCCCCAGAAGCAGAATTGAGCAGAGGGAAGAAAAGCAAGGCCCTGTACCCCAAGCTTTCATACCCTGGCACCACACGTGGCCAGGCATTTTCAGACTCCGCCACGGGATAAATTATTCAGACTGAAGCAAAAGGTGCAAGTGCTTCAGCACCAACCAGGAGAAAAGGAAAACCTTTGTTCGAAGTTTCACTTACTGGCCCTAATGGCCTGGGATTTCACACCAACTAAAAAGGGAAAGTTGAAGCAGCGCTCCTCCAGAACTGCAAAATGGACCTTTTTGTCTTTTCAGATGCCTGGGGCTGTGTCTCAGAGATGCTCCATGGGAGCAAAAAGAGAAAGTAATGGATTTTCACAGCTCCCAGCAAGGAAACTAGAAGCCAGTTCCTTGATGTTCCTTCTTCTTTTATAAGAAATAACCTATAATATGTCGAGTTTGTTTTTTAACCCTACAATTGGTTTGGTTTGGTTTAAGACCATTCTCCAATGCAGTTGGCAAAACCTTTTTCAGGCAACGATTTCGTTGATTTATTTATTTATTTTGTAGCCAGTACTGCAGCTGCCAACTCAGCAAGAAGAGTGGCAGAAATTCTCTGTGCAACCTTAACGGGCACTTTCTCGAGCTGTAGGTTCCTATATAACACGCCTGCTGCAAAACAAGTGCTGTACAGCTCACTAATGTCAATATTTACCATTGGTATCCCATTCCTCCTCCTTTCCAGATACTGGGAGAGGAGGAAGTGGGAGAAAGAGAAACAATCATTCCGTGATAACGGGAAAATGCCTTTTGGATTTCAGTGTAAAGCCCGAGATGTAAAACAACCGTTTGTGCTAGCAAAAAGCACACAGCCCATATCGTGGCTATTTGCAGAATTAGCCACGTGCTTTGCGTGTTTTGTACAAATTTCATGGGCGTACTTTAAGACATAAGTGTTTGCAAACTGACCTGAGACCCAACAGCAGTACTGTAACCAGCTAGATGTAAGTTTTGCAATGTGACTTCTTTACGTTAAAGAATTAAGCTTCGAAGTACTAACTTTTGTTTTGTTTTAAACAGAGCAAATTATCGAGAAAGATGAAGGTCCGTTCTATACCCATCTAGGAGCCGGTCCTAACGTGGCAGCTATTAGAGAAATCATGGAAGAAAGGTAATTAGTGCAAAGGCACGGGGCAGATTAACGTTTATCCTTTTGTGGACGTCAGAATTTTTCCAGCTTTTGCACATAAAGAAATAAACAATTGCAAATCAAGTAATTACTTGTAGGCTTAGCTCCCCCCGTGTTGCCAACATGACGCGCTGTGCTATTCACCAGAGAGTCACAATATTTGACAGGGCTAATGGGCGGCTGGCTGGCACGGGCTGCGTGCTTTGAGACCGACGCCAGCAAACCCGAGCAGGAACAAGAATCCACCAGGCTGCCAAGCAAGGCAAGGCGGCTGGCAATGGCTCTCAGAGCAGGCACCGACCTGGTGTTCCCTCTGCAGACGAGGACGCCAAGGTGGGAGGAGGACGGAGGGCAGAATACCAGACTCCAAAATTATCTCTCTCCTCCCTGCCCGCCAATTATTGAGTGTATAGTACAACCCGAAAGGACTAAGCCTAACTCAGTCACTTCCAGAGGTGTGAAACAAGGTTACTAGATAGGATTTCAGCCCAGGAATCAAGAAGTAGGTTTGTGACAAAACATCCCTCTCCCTCGGAGTACTGCACAAGACCAGCCTCATCTCAGCTGTGGGTATTCCTGCAGTGCGTTGCATCCCATAATGTATCTGCTACCCAAAGTCAAACCCAACAAGGGATTCCGAATGGTACAGCATGGGTATGTGACCTACGCTATCTAGAAAAATGAAAAAGTGCAACATCCACCAGCATTTCTAAGATATAAATTTAAAATTCTTCACACCAAAGTGACTCTAGCACTGTGCATTCTGCATTACTTGTAGGTTTCGGAAAGCACAGACAGTAAAGGCCAGGTTTTTAGTGCTATCTGGGAATTCAGTTCCCTTCTGAAAAAACAAGCAAACAAAAGCTCCCCAGTAAGTCGGAGACAGATGGGAATTTGATTTGTTAATACCTTAAAACTCTGAACACCAAAAGCAAATAGGTGTCTGTGCAGCGCTTGTCTTGAGCCAAGGAGAACGGTTTCTCAGCAGGGTCTGCTAGCTTGTGCTCATCACTGCACAGCCATGCACCATTAATGGCATATTAAATCCTAGGATTATCTCCAAGTGATTAGTCCTAAGGTCCTTTCTCTTAGCACCTCCTTCCCTGTAGCTCCTGGGCAGGGCTTGCCCCACTACTTGTTTTCAGCTTTGTGAGCAGCTCAAAGGCATGTAAGCTGCAATCAGCTGCTTCTTGGGAAGGGGGAGTGAACGCTGACCCTCCTGAGAAGCTTCTTACCATGTACCTCCAAGGCTCTAATTGACTGTTTAATTCTTTAATATTCACTACTAGTACATAAAACAGGAAAGTCATTCACGGCATCACGTCAATTATTAGAGATGAAACTTTTTTCCATTTCTGGACTTAGGAATGTGATTTTCCATCCTTAATACCGACCTTGTCTTTTCTTCCTTTTCCCGTCCCATTAATTTCATTTCATGCTGGCAGAAGGAAATCCTGAGAGATTACAGATAACATACATATAGGCAGCCAGGTTCAGCAGAATCTAACAGAAACTGCTTGAACAATGGCAAGCTTACAACTGTTCATACTGCATGAACTGTGTGATCCCAGGACAGACCTCCAGAGCTCCTTCTTGTTAGCTAATTTTGTATCCCTAAGAGAAAAAAAAAACACCCTAAAGAAATTCTCGAGCACGTGTGTACAGTTGGTGACATTAATCACAACCTAAGCACTTTTAAACTATCTTCCCATGACCATGAAATTGACTTTTACGGTATTAGCACTGCCAAACAAACCAGGATTTGAATTGACACTGATAGTTGATATTTTAGCTACACCAGTTTCTTACAGAATCCATGGTGGATACATATTTTTTACCTCTTCCTTCTCCCAGTCCCTACTTCATGCTCAGTGAGTTTTGCTCCCATTTTGAAGCCAATGAGCTCTGGACTGAAAGCAAGCATGACAAACATCAGGCACAAATTCTTCTGTGACAGTTGAAGAGATGTGAGACAAAGTCCATTTCATTTGTAGTGCTCAAGATAGATCGATAGTGGCACCCACACAGCTGTCCTGCAATCCAGATCAGCAGACTGATAGAAAATGTTAAGATCGAAAAATGTTTATGTGGCTAATTAAAGAAACAAATGTATGCTATCATCCAAGACTAAGTAGGAAAAAGTGATCTAACAGTTGCCTGCAGAACATGTGTAGTACGACCTGATTTTATTTGTATAATTTCCTGCAACACTGAAATTTCACAATGAGATCACATCTAAAAATAAGTATTTTTCATTTCCTTTACACGACAGAAGTTTTAAATACAAGTAATTTGCTCTTAAATATGTCACCGAGATTTTAGTGCAAAAGCAAGAGGGATGAAAGGTCAAAAGTTCTCAAAGCAGCTTTCAATGGCTGTGTAACTCAAAGGAACTATCTTGATTGCTCCATAGGTAACAGGCAAAAAGCAGGAACACCGTGACTTAGTCCCTATGCTTGGATATATATATTAAAAAAAAAAACAACAAAAAAAAACAGCACCAATGAGAGCAGCAGATTCAAGAAAGGGAGCTGGAGGTGGAATTTGCCCAGTCCCTGAAACGCAGCCAAGTCAGCAGCGAAGCTGGAGCTGCAACTTTGCAGCCACGGAGGTCTCTAGCATGCAGGCTTCAAGCAGCAGCCTCCCCTCAGCCGCGGCATGCTCTCGGCTCAGCAGCTGGGCACCCCCAGCTGCAGCAGCCCTGGGGCGAGAATAAGCTCAGGAAAAGCTCAACAGATCTGATGCTTGCTGTTAATTCAAGACTTGCTTCACTTAGCATTTGCCATAGATTTCCACCTGGTCGGTCAGAGGGCATGGGAAGTGGATCCCCTTTGTTCTGAACAGCTTTGGGGCTCAGTTCTACCCTGAGTGCATCGTCACCTCGACTGAGTGCTACAGCAGGAGTGGAGCTTGCCTGCCTTCGTCCCCAAAAGACACACAAATGGCATCATTTGAGGGCACCTCGTGATCCTAATTCAGTATAGAAGGCTGGCAGAAGTAAATAAGTAACAATTTATGACCGGATGATAAAGTAAAGGAAATAGATATGAAGCAAATTAATCATGGCTTAACTGATTCACACTGTATCTAAGCCAGAAACAAGCACAGAAAATTAATAGAGTGACTGCTGCATGCCAGCTGTTCCATGACAACTTCATTATATAAATTTCAGAGTGATAACTGAAAATTTAACCCAGAAATTAAAGACAAATGTAAGTTTCCCTCCCAAAACAGAGAGACTTCAAGCCCACTTTTCAAAATGCCATCTATAACAACTCCTCTAGAGAAACGGTTAAAAGGTTTGGGGATATTAATGTGTTACGGGTAATTCTCACTCCGCTGTGATGTATTAAAGCCATTTGCCTCTTTTAACATGTTAATTCGCCACCATCGTAAAATCAGCCAGATAAACTGCATTGCACACCCTTCACTGTAATTCACAGTATTTATTTTTTAAGATAAGCCTGGTGAGTGTACTCCATCTTTTAAGTGTTCCTGCAGAACCAAATGAACGTGCTTATTGTACGTGTTTTTGTTTGTTTAAGATTTGGACAGAAGGGTAAAGCTATAAGGATTGAGAGGGTTGTCTACACTGGGAAAGAAGGCAAAAGTTCTCAAGGATGCCCTATTGCTAAATGGGTAAGTGATGTCCACAAAATAATGCTGATCTAGGTCAGCGTGGTGGTTCCTGCATCAGCCAGCAGTGACGTCCCTCTGTTAGCTGACACTGGGGAGCTTAAAATAGCTCGCCGCAGGGCGCCCGCAGCCCGCTCCCACCGCTGTCTCTCACACTCCATTTACTTGAGCTGCATGGAAAACAGCGAGAATAAAATTTGGCCTAAAGGTACGAAAACCCGAGAAGGGAGGCAGTTAAACTTAGATTTAAGACCCGTGACTCCAGCCGTTCTCTCTGCTGTTTAATTTTACCTCCAAATAAGCGCCGTAAGTACACCACGGTGATGTTTTGAAAACGCACTCCCAGTTGGAGCGAGGAATTAGTACACCCTCTTAGCAAACACTGCCTTACTCTGGCACAAAGCGCTGAGTGGTTTGGGTAGGCTGGGGAAAGCCGGGATGAGGAAAAGCTGATATATGATTATAAGTGCTTCTGCATGCCAGACTGCACCTTTTACAGAAATACCCACAGCACTGAGAAGCAGGGACACTTACTTGAGCCGTGTGCTGCTTTCCTCTCACTGCCATAATGTTTCTGTGAGTCAGGGCAGGCAAGGCCACAAAACAGAGCGGCTGGTGACAAGTTTAGCTGTTTAGGCATGCTAGGAAAAGGAAGAGATGTCGTACAATGACACTGCACTCATACCATAGTGCAGACTCGGGAGAATATTTCTGCTAAATCAGAGCATGGGGGATACCATGCAAAGCTGTTTTCCACCTCCATGCCATCAGTCAGCAGGCTTAGAGCTTCACTAAACGGAAGGGCTTCGTGCCCTGGCCCCTATCAGTAGAGGGGAAGAACGGCACGAGTTGCCAGAAACAAAGAGGAAGAGGGAGATAGAAGTGACCTCCCCCCACGCACACTAGTGCTGAGGTTTCCTCTCCTCTTCACATTAAGAAATGCCTTGTTTGTGTTGGGGCTCCGGGGGTGTGTGTTGCTGTGCATGCAGGTAGTCCGCAGAAGCAGTCAGGAAGAAAAGCTACTCTGCCTGGTGCGCGAGCGAGCGGGCCACACCTGTGAGACGGCGGTGATCGTGATTCTCATCCTGGTCTGGGAGGGAATCCCGACAAGCCTGGCCGACAAGCTGTATTCGGAGCTCACCGACACCCTGAGAAAGTACGGCACGCTCACCAACCGGCGCTGTGCCCTGAACGAAGAGTAAGTGACACAAGGGGTTGGCTTCAGCCGGGGACCTGGCGTCTCCGCTGGCTCTTTTCCCGTAAACGCACACACCTTCCAAACCCCTTCAGACAGTCGGAAAACCCACGAAGCTTTTGAGGAGAGCAAAGCAAATGTTTTTTAAAAGTAGGGAAAAAAACGTCTTCCCAGAGTTGTGAAGCCTCGCTGTGTATTTAAAGGAAGATGATTTAAAAGAAAATCGCAGCTGGGCCCAGGAAAGCAGACACCTTGAAATGAAAACGAGGTGCACTAAATCACACCTATGCCTACAGAAGCTAGCCTGAATCTAAAGAAATTACACTCTTTTTTCCATGTCTTTCTGACAGCAAAGAACATTTAGATCAAAATAACTTCGCGATCACTGCATTTTACATGCTGTGGCTTCATGGGTAGAGTCATGTTTCGGAAATCTTTGCCAAATGCTTGTCAGAGAGCTCCAGCTTGCAGTGCCAGCAGCATACGCCCCTCCAGGTACCATTAGTGACCCACCTGTGGAGGCTCCTTGCAGACATCCACCCTTTTGAGCTAGCCCAGGTTTCTCAGATCAAGATAGGAAACTTGCTTTCCAACCACGCAACTACTCCTTGCGATAAATTCCTCTGCTACAATTCCTCCGACTGCCTCTTCCACTTCCTCGCTATTTACCGATGGAAGGAGATCCAGGACTGGTGGTTCCCTGGCAGAACGCTGTAGGAGCACCCCGGGGTGACCAGCCTGCTGCTAACAGCTGTCTTCTCTTCTTTAGACGGACCTGTGCATGTCAAGGGCTGGACCCTGAAACTTGTGGTGCTTCATTTTCCTTTGGTTGCTCCTGGAGCATGTACTACAATGGTTGTAAGTTTGCCAGAAGCAAGATTCCGAGAAAGTTCAAGCTGATGGGGGATGATCCAAAAGAGGTTGGTGTCCATTTCTAAAATGAAAACGTGCCTCATTTGCAAGGAAATGTTTTCTGTCACTCTGCAAATAAGAGATCCAGTGCAAGAGAGCAGGGGGGCAGAGCCCTGCACGTATGTAGGGCCATTAAATGACTGCCAGTCAGAGCTGATTGATTCCAGTCACTGAGCCAGCTGAACTGACTGTCCAAATTCTGACAGCTGGTAAAAGCCCTGAGACTTGAAACCATGTTTGCAGGCTTTCACAATTAGAAGAAAGGGCACAGCCTGAATAATTGTGCCCGCATTAGGCCTGCAATCGGGCATTCCCCAGTGGCAGAGTGGAAGGTTTACCAGCTGAAGGCGTGTAACGTTGCAACTGGGAACCAGAGCAGACTGCACGGAGACTTAATGTGGCGAAACTCTGAGAGTACAATAGGAATAAGAGGCTAGGAAGCCTCGTGCTACATACAGTCTTGCCCCACTGATAGTTTCCAGGCCGGGCTCTGTGTTACAGCAAGCTGGCAACCATTTAAAACAAGTCAGAGTAAAACAGCACCAACCTTAGCTTGGACACAGGATGTCTCTGAAGCAGAGCTTTCACTATATTCTGGGATCTCACACAAATCCAAACATTTCTTGTACGTGATCAGAGAGTCAGGCATGCCTGCATGCTATGGCCTGTGCTGAAAATAGCACGCTTTATTTAGAATATCATCATAATTACCATATAGTTTTTCCTCCCTGCTGCTCCTCTGTGTCCCCCAGCATTACAAAATAGCTCTCCTTCAATCACATTGTGGCACAAAGCCTTCTTTATCATAGCTGCAATCCTAAACCCCCCAAATTTTCTAAGCTGGATACCTGGCCAGAGCTCACTAGGGCATTCTTCCAACTTGCATTCCTGGATTTGATTCCATGCAAGCCAGAGCTGGGCAAAGAGGACACTTTTACCCTCCAGTCCTGTTCCCAAAGGCAGGGGCACACATCCAGACAAGGGTCTCATAGCATAGACTCAGTTTATGGGTGATACAGACAGCACAAATAGGATCCTCACCAATAAATGCTCGAAGTTATGCTTACAAATGATAACCATACAAAAGGCCACAGCAAGATGTTCTCTGACAATTTCACAGTGTCATTTTGGAGTCCCAGATTTTAGGAGGAGATACAAAACTTTAATGTACCAAATGTCTCTCTGTCAAACCCATAGGTTCTTCACACCTTCATGAAAAAGTGTACTCCTAAAAGCCAGTACACTGCTCCATTATGCCACTGTTCTCTCTGTATTTGAAATGAAAAATAAGGGCCGCGTGTAAGCAAGGTCTTGAATTTGGAATTCTCTTCCTGAGAGTATGGGGAGCAACTCTGGAGTGTGTTACTGGGAGTACTTCATTTTTAAAGAGCCCTTCATTTTGAGAGCATGTCCATCTCCTTACAGAAGGGTGAAATGTGGTCGCTCCTACCTGCATAGCACCAACTCCTAGGTGTATCCACAATTCTTGATTGCTTGAGGACTGGGAACTTTTAGAAGGCTAATGCATTACAATAATTTTAAGTTGCTGCATGAAAAGACAATTTAAATGTGTCGAAGTGCTGTTATCACAGTGTGTAAAACCCTTAAATTAGCCGGATTAACTTGATGGAGCATTCAGATATTATTTCTCTCAAGCTTTCTAAAGAATATTATTTTCCCAAAACTCCAGTAGAGAAAATAACGAGGGTCATCATGCTTGGACCTAAAACAGCTTCATATTGAAAAATTATAAATTCTTTTTAAGATAAACCAAATTAAAATTATAGTCTGTGATATCCTCTCACAAGGATCACACTACCCTACTATTGTGTCTCTTTCAAGGCTGTGAAACAATATAATTAAAAGGAGATTCATAATAGTTATTGTCTAAACCAGAATGACCACGATCTAGACCCTTACATATCTATCACTCCATTTTAGCAGACCCCACCTTTTTAGGTCCATACATAGGGTATGGAAATGTCACTGAACTCTATTTCGTCTGCTAACAGGAAGAAAAACTAGAATCCAATTTGCAGAATCTGTCAACCCTGATGGCGCCCACCTACAAGAAGCTCGCACCTGATGCATACAACAACCAGGTATGGTGGGGGGAAAGGGAACTGGAACAGTCACACCATCTGATTTTTACCACACTTTCCCCAGCATTTTATCTCTGAGCCACACCATTCATGTACATTTTGTACCAGCCTTCCTTTGACATCTGGCTAAAGACAAATGGAAATCCTCAATGCCACTTAAAATGCTTTCAAAAGTAAAACTAGCAGAATGTTATCCACTAAATAAAGCTAATATTTTCACCTGCATAAACACAACAACATTACTTCACACTTGAGCAGAAATCCAGCTTTACAACACAAGGCTTCTGGATTTAGGGCGATTCACCAGCCAAACTAGCAAAACAGCCACAGAGACGGTTCAAGACTGGTGACAGTGTCATTAGGCAGCGAATTATATTGCACTTGAGTCTTGAAACTACAGTTTCAGTTCTGCTCTCTCAAGTGACAGTTTTCACCAAAGTAGCCATTACAGACTTGCTTTTAAAACAAAGCTTCATATACTTGCATCAAAATTTGACGCCGTACCCTTTGAAATGTGTTAACTATTGGCCTTCATTTTTATTGTTCAGGCTTGCTACCATTACAAACACTCACAGAAGTTACAGACTCCTGGCTACCAGCACCACTGCAAACTGTGACATCTTCTTTCTTTCCTGTTGACAACATTAAGCCCAGTCAAAACACTCCCTTGCTGTAGCAATCAGCACAGAACAGATTTTCCACTGTAATGCAAGCTGTAAGCTAACGTGAAACTGTCCATTTATATCTGCAGTTAAATTCACTCCTTTGCTGTGTATTTACTAGCAACTAGACAGGGTAAGCAGGTTTAGTACAGACTGATCCGATTTCACTTACCTGATCAGATAACGCTTGGAGACTCATTCTGGAGGAAACTGTGGCTACGTGCCCACTAGCTGTGGTTATCTCTCCAAATATCGTAGAGACATTCTGCAAGAGAAGAAAGGAAGAGGAAGAATTAGAAATGAGGGGGTGGTGAAAAATAAAATGGTTCTTTGCTTGGGTTGCTTTTCTTTTCTCATAAAAGTTCTTCATATAAACCGTAAGCCTGACACTAGCTGAAAATACATGTACATGCTTTCGCAAGTTCCAACTTCTACCTTAGATAATAAGCAATGTGTATAGCCTGGCCTATTTCGGGAGTTCCACGCAAACCTTGAATTTGTGGGGAAACAGAGATCAAGCTATTGTCAGTGTCTTCAAAGGGAGATGAGCAAGACCTAATTTGTATGGCTGCAGTAGCAGGTTATAAAAAGCCAAAGCTCTAACCAAAGCCAGTCCCCCTCTGAATCACAGAATATCACAAGCTGCAGATCCTGAGAAGAGATTCCAAATTCAAAACTCTGTTCTAATCCATGTCAGGACTGCAGCGGCATTAACCTCTAGAATTGGAAAGTGTCTGTTTATCCCACTGGACCCAGCAGCACATTTCATACAACCTCTGCAGCGATACATTTTAAACACACCCTTTAAATCTAACCAAATTATAACGTGGATACCATTTTGAACCACCCTCACTGGATTCCAAAGGAGTCTCCATGTTTCAAGTTTTCTTCTGATTTTTTGTTTTTAGATTCCAGTGAAGTAAATATTCCAAATATGAAAAGCAAAATTACTGTGAGCAAACTAGACATCTTTTTAGTGATCCTGGATCAAGACTTGGCAAAACTTCTAATTTCCCATTAACTTAGAACAGGAATTTCAGCAAAGCATTTTACGAATGGGGTTTCATTTCTGATTTTCTAAATATAATATGAAACTGCCATTTGGGTGAGGCTTGATCTTCCATTACAAAATTCCCTTCTTTTTGTGTAAGGTTTATTGTTGCACTATAAACTCTTTGCAAAGCTCCTTAATAATGAGTACACGTATAGAAAATACGGCCTTGACTGAATTATCATTTTGGTCAGGGGTTAGTGCTGCACTAAAGCTAATGAAATAGGCTTTTAGTGTGCCAAAATATTACAAATCAAAAAGCAAATTATTATTTTTCATGAAGTCATTCTGAAGTCAGTTTTCTAAAGTCATTTTCCCTTAATAGCTTGGTGTATTTCCAGACTACACAAACACATCACTCTTGCAGTGCCAGACACCGAAACCATGCACTGTATTTGTCATGTAAAAACACAAACCGCTGGCAGGGAATCAGGAGTAATATGCACAGAAAAGTATTACTGGCCAGTTTCACAATCACAGCAGAGACACAAGGTAACAGGGAAGAAAGCAGCAAGGAGTGAAAGAGGCATATAAAACTGCCACAGAATTGCTTGATTTTATTTGCCTATGAGTCCTATGTTACCACCCCGAAGATGTTAGGAGAGCTGCCTGCTGTTCGGTGCTAAGCCCGGGTGTTGCAGCGATACCTGTTGTCTGATTGCAGATCGAGTACGAACACAGAGCACCCGAGTGTCGCCTGGGGTTAAAAGAAGGTCGCCCATTCTCCGGGGTCACTGCCTGCCTGGATTTCTGTGCTCATGCTCACAGAGACTTACACAATATGCAGAACGGGAGCACACTGGTAAGTCAGCGATGCACAGAGCCTCCTTGTTCCAGCGCTAATTGCATACAGTTAATTCATTATCTTCAGTCTGTTTAAATTTATAATTGCGTAACATAGATTGCTAAAAAAAGAAACGTTAAGCAGTAATTGAGCTAACTTATTACCCCCCTCCACAATTTTTCGTTCAACTGAATGAGACTTATGATGTATGAAAGGAAGGTTTAATATAGAACTGGTAAAGGAGAAACCGTGGAGACAATGGCAGGAAGGTTCCAGCAGGGCTGAAATGCCTGTTTCAGCGTTCCCGGAACAAAATGATTTATATTTGTCATCTTGAAATATTTTTTTATAACTACTTTGGATTATATATCTTCTAATAAAATAAAAACAGAAGCAGATGACTGCTTTTCATAACTTTCTTCCGAGGAAAGTTTAGAAAGCTGTGGATTTCATTCCTGCTTGGGATGAGAATACAGTCTGCAAGCCTTGCCACCCTTAGTAATCTATGTGCTCACTTGACACTTTTCCATTCTGAACTCCTCTGAACACTGCATCTGCAGCAACATTTCTGTACAAGATATCAGAAAAACTAGCCTTTTTTCCAATGGTTATTAGATTATTTCTGTTTCCTGCTTATTCTCTCTCTGTGATAATCCAGTAACAACTCAAATTTGCCCTGTTTCCAGGGTCTGACTTAGTTGAAAAGTCAACCACCACCAATCAAATACATGTTCCTAGCTGAGCTTTCTTCCTAAGATTGGCTGATTCAATGATTCTGCAGCAGAGTATGTCTGTATCAGCATCTTTTTCTCCACTGAGATACTCCCAATGCCTGTTTTAGCTGGAGCTAACACAGTGACCCTCCTGAAATCTTTGTGCACGTTAACGTGACTTGCTCCTTTGCAAAGTGCTGGAAGCTGCCATTGTAAGGGGGTGTGAAATACAGTGGCAGTACTGTTATATTGCTCACTACTTCAAATAGGTACCTGGCTAATAATCTGCCACAGCAAACTCTTCAGTTGGGTACAAAGTCCCAGTTCTCACTGTTTTAGCTCCCTGCCCACGCGGTGCTGTGGACCACACAGTTTATTTCACTTTAGGTGACACCCGACTATACTGCTCATTTCAGTACAAGAAACAGAGATGTCTATACTTTGTGTTTCTATTTACACTGTCCAACAGAGCAATGGAAGAAGTGAAATTGCAGACTTCTTGTGATAATGCTTAAATTGAGCAGAAACTTAAAGTTTCCAAGCAACTTTCCAGATGCTGACAGTGTCAGGGCAAGGTAAAACACACCAGCTAGTATTTCAGGCAACTTCTTCTCAGACTGGTTGGAGAGAGTTACTCTAACACCCCCTTTCTGACAGGTTTGCACACTAACTAGAGAAGACAATCGTGAAATTGGCCAAACACCTGAAGATGAGCAGCTCCACGTGCTCCCGTTGTACAAAGTCTCTGATGTGGATGAGTTTGGAAGCGCTGAAGGCCAGGAGGAGAAGAAGAGGAATGGCAGCATCCAGGTCCTTACCTCCTTTCGGCGGAAAGTAAGGATGTTAGCGGAGCCCGTTAAGACGTGCCGGCAAAGGAAGCTAGAAGCAAAGAAGGCAGCTGCAGAAAAGCTTTCCTCCTTGGAGAATGGGTCTAGCAAAGCTGAAAGAGACAAGTCTGCTGCAGCACGCAACAAGCAAGGCAACGCTGAAGCGGCAAGTCACGCAAAGCAGCTAGCAGGTAAACACATGAATCTGATCAGGATCTTTATCAAGTGGTAAGCTTCCTAGAAACTGAGGCCATTTACAATGAGTCTCTAGAAAACCATTTTTCACAGCACAAGAATGTTTTAAACAAAAAGCAAAGAGCATTTTTGAATGTAAATAGCAATATTGTATGTTTATAAATATTAGAATGCCAAATGGTGGTCAACTCAGAGAAGCAAATAAAAAAGAAAAAAAACAGACATGAGAAAGCCATGACTGGATAGCTGACACCTGTAGAAGTCAGGTGCTTCTACAAACTCAATGTATTGCAAAGTACCTTTAAAAGACTGCTGGTGCTAGGAGCTGTGAAGAGAAGTGTGTGATGTTGCTGCTAAAGAAAATGTGACCTGCACATCACTCGCTGTCTGCCACTGTTGCAGAGAACATCATAATCTGAGTGGATTCTAGCCTAGCCTCTTTACCACTGTATATACAAATACTCTGCTTCAAGACCAAAAGCAGAGCAGAGGTTTTTCCATAGTGGATTAAGAATTTAAAAATCCATTTAACAACCCCTGGCAGTTCCCATCAGTAGATTTAGAATCCTGGGCAAAGGAGTTCCTCCCTCGTGACTGTTTGATTGTTACAGCAGCTTCCACAGAGAGGAATAAAGCGATACCTCCAAGGCTGCCCAAAAGGTCACCGGGATACCTATGAATAGAAGTCAGCTGTCCTGTGACCCAGGCTGGGGCTCTAACCATTAAACTATGCCACTTTAATGAGTGATGGCTTTTCCCTCGTGCCTTCAATTAATCTCACTTGGTACTGAAATGTTCCCTCTCTCAGTGAATGTCACCTTTGTTATTTTATTTTATTTGTTTAACGTTAAGCTAGGGTCATTTCTTTTTGAGGCAGTTCTATAAATATAGATGTAGCAGAATTTATTTATTTATCCTTGGGGAAAAGAAGGTCACCCTGTGCATGGCTTTTTGGGAGCACTTTGATGCTCCATTTCATGGGCTACTTAAATGATGATTCAACTCTTTGGACTTTGTGCATGTGACTCTGAACAGATTGCACTGTCCTCTCTTCCCCGTTGCTGCTAGCATCTGATCTCGCTGGATGCAGGCCAAAAAGGAAGAGTAGCCTTAGTATTTATTCAGCTTCTTAAAGCGTGGCATTTGAGATATGAGAAAGGGAACCTCTGTTAACGTATCATATGATAGACTTTTCTTAGAAAACTCACAGATATTTATCATGAGGAATCTATACAGTATGCGTTTAAAAAAAGAAAAAAGAAGAAAAAAGCTTGCTTGTTCTTTTCTTTTCACGTCTACAGATCTTTTACGCCTTTCAGGACCAGCCTCACAACAGCAGCAGCAACATCCCCAGCGCACTCTCCCTAACAGCTCCCAGTCAAATCCTATTAATTCTTACTCGGGTTCAGGTTCTGCAAATCTGTATGTAAGGTTGCCTAATCCAGCCGGTGGTTATCCCAGCTCTTCATACACTTCAGATCCCTATGGAGGGTCGGCTCCCATGAACCTTTACACCACCTCATCACAGCCTGCGGGGTCTTATTTGAATTCTTCCAGTCCCATGAACCCTTATTCAGGATCGTTAAGTCAAAATAACCAGTATCCACCCTACCCATGCAATGGAAACATGCCGATGGACAACTGCCCCTCTTACTTGGGCTCCTACCCCTCCCAGCATCAGCACGTGGACTTGTATAGCTGTCAGAGCCAAGACCCTATGTCTAAACTAAGCCTGCCACCCATTCAAACATTATACCAGCACAGGTTTGGGAATAACCAGAGTTTTGGTCCCAAATACTTGAATTACGGAAACCAAAATATGCAGGTCGACTCTTTCAGTAATTGCACCATTAGACCAAATGTACACCACGTAGGGTCTTTTTCCTCTTACTCCACCCACGAGGCTGATGGCCATTTTATGGAGGTAGCCTCGAGGCTCAAATCTAATCTGAGTAATCCAAGCATGGACTATGCCTCCATGAATAAAAACACTGAACATCACCATGTGCAACCCCCGCCACATTTAGCACACGACTACCATCCCGCTCCAAATATGTTCAGTGGTCCTCCTAATTCGTTGCACCTCCAAAACAAGGATAGCGAAATGATCTCCCATGCAGTCAATGGTTTGTCTAGCATGCTTCCAGGTCAAAACCACGATAGGACTACTCCCCAAGGTGGTTTAGAGAAAACCGATGTGCTGAATCCTGAAAAAGCAGAGGATCCCGATGAAGTCTGGTCCGATAGTGAACAGAGCTTCCTGGATCCAGAAATTGGAGGAGTGGCAGTTGCTCCATCTCATGGGTCAATTCTCATAGAGTGTGCAAAGCGCGAGCTCCATGCAACGACCCCCCTCAAAAACCCCAACAGGAACCATCCCACCAGAATATCCCTTGTCTTTTACCAGCACAAGAGCATGAACGAGCCGAAACACGGCCTGGCTCTGTGGGAGGCCAAGATGGCTGAGAAGGCAAGAGAGAAGGAAGAGGAGTGTGAGAAATACGGTCCAGACTACGTGCCTCAGAAATCTTACGGCAAAAAAGCGAAGCGGGAGCCTGCTGAGCCACACGAAGCCTCGGAGCCAACGTACGTGCGCTTCATCAAGTCTCTTGCACAACGGACGCTGTCGGTCACCACAGACTCCACAGTAACGACATCTCCATATGCCTTTACACGGGTTACAGGGCCTTACAACAGATATATCTAACTTCACACCTTCGTTGGTTACCTCATCTGAAAAAAAAAAGAAACAACAACTCATCAGTAGGGTAGTTCTCGTTTAGGTTTTGGGGAAGGCAAGGGTGGAGGAGAAAGCAGTGTTTTCATTAAACTCATCGGTGGAAAAAGCCTCGGCACACCAGCATAAAGAGGTAATCTCACTAGCGCACTTCTTTTCCACTGGTTTTTAAGTGGTCACAGATGGCATGTAGGAAACAAGACCAAAGCATCCTATGCAAAAACAAAAAAACAAAAACAAAAACAAAACAAAAAGTGTTTCACAATTTACATTTGAAAACACTGGCTCCATTACTGAAAGAGAGAATCTGCAAATGGATTTTTTTTTTCTTACAGTTTTGCACATCTGTGACCACTTTTAATGTCATTGAGTTTGCATAGTCATGGAACAGGAGCAAAAAAAAAAAAATCCTAAAAAATAATACTGTAGTATTCCAACTGCAGGAATCTTAAAATAACATCTGGTGCTGAATCTACGATGTACTGAAATACTGGAATTATGGCTTTTTAACATGCAGTTTTTACTGTAATCTTATTAGTCTCTTGATTTTATTTAACAAAGTAGATACGTATAAAACGTAATGAATAGACAGCAAAACACTGAATTTGTTTGGATATTCTAAAAACATGGTGCTATCTAAGAGAACGGTGTCTTTATTTTAACAGTCAAGCAGTTATTGCCTTTATAACGATTAAAATGTCAATGATGTATTCAAATGTTCTTCGACAACAGGGAGGACCTTTTCATTCATGTATGTATTGAATTTACCTGGTGTTAAAATAAGCTTACTTTTTAACATATGGGAATTACAAAGACCTCTGGATTTTGCTCATCCAGTCAAGTCCTAGAAAAGGACAATAAAATATAGAGAGAGATATTTTTTTTTAAAATAGTGTTTCAAAAGCACTTTGTCTACCTAAGCTTGGCAACTTGAACAATGCTAAGGTACTAAGACATTAAAAAAAAAAAAAAAAAGAGTTTACTTTGATTTTAAAAATGCAAAGATAATTTTTTTAAAATAAAAAAAAAAAGCTTTTAAATACTTTTGTTTTAGCCGTGCATCTGCTAGTGGGCTACATATCCATTTTTAATACAGTCAGTTATGGTAAAAATGGGGCTTACTGGATATAAGGGAATACTTTAGTACACAAAACACATGTTTTTCTGGTGCTCATCTCACACAGCTATACTGTAAACTGTTTTCTACAATTATGACAAGTTCATTGCTCAAATATGTACAGTTTTAAGGAAAGAATTTTATATTAACCACAGGTAATAATTAGCAGCATGCAACAGACTACAACTAGTTAGCTTGGGCTTCTGCTGTTTTTAAAGATCTGTATGCTCTTCAACTATTGAATGGCAGACTGCTTTTGTGTTGATAATTATGTACATTGTGGTGTAAGTCATTTCTCGGTGCAAGTGTCCTCTTTTCCAGGAAGATTGAGCAGACCGATGCCTACACAAGATGAATGAAACAGGGTTAGTTCTGTGTGATTCCGTTGATTAAATAGAAAAAAAAAATAGGCAGCTGGCTTGCTGTGGTGGTTTTAAAACATTAATTTCTATTAAAAAAAGCAGGAGAGTTGTATAGTAAATTAAATTGTAAACAAAACTTTTTTTAACGCAATGCTTTAGTATTTTAGTACTGTAAAAATATTAAATCTATATATATTTGGGTTTTGAGCTGAATTCACATCATGGTGCTACTCAGCCTGCTACAAATATATCATAATGTGAGCTAAAAATACATTAAAAGGTTTGAGTGATGTTCCTACTTGTCATATACCTCAACACTAGTTTGGCAATAGGATATTGAACTGAGTGTGAAAGTTTATATATTGTATACCATCTTTTTTCCCCCAATAGCCTTTGAAAAAAAAAAAAAAAAAAAACTCTCTCAATACTTGACATTTTAGCAAGTATAACTTGAACTTCAACTTTTTTTTTTTTTTTGGTTCTAAAAATTCAGGGATATTTCAGCTCATGTTCTCCTATGCCAACGTGTCACCTGTGTGTATGTAAAGCTGTTGTAGGTTAAATATATTATTCTTTTTTTTTTCTTTTCTTTTTTTTTTTCCTCCTTCAGGGATTTAATGCTTTTCTTTTGAATCCCTTCTCTAATTTTCCTTGTACATGTATTGATGTAACTAAAACTAATTTTGTAAATTCGTTAGCTCTTTTTATTGTAATGAAAGTGTTTAAGAGATTTAGAATGTTTTGCCTGTTTCAAACGAATAAACAAAAGAAAGTAGAATGCACTGAGCTGATTAAAGGGAAAAATGTAAGGCAGGGGTTTGGCAAGTGACTGTTTGCTAGAGTTTTTCAAGTCACTCTCTAAACAAGGCTTCTTGGATACTGTAATAAATAAAATAAAATAAAGTATAAAAAGGTACAGTCTGTACAAGGGCTTCCCTAAACATGCAAACCTCCATGTCCCAGATATATCTTGTGCAATATACTGTAAGATTAAGTTTGGTCAAAAGAAATTTTATCTAACAGAATCACAACCTAACTCGAGTAAATCAAAGGAGGCCTTTGGGTTTAATGGTCAAATATTTATTATGGCAATTTTTTATTTTTTTTTTTTAATTCTCAGTCTGTGACTTTACCCACTGCATTGAAACAAAAGTTTCGCCTTTTTAAAGAAAAAAATTTAATGATGGTTATGTGTCAGATTAATTAAATCCTTCCTAATCTTCATCTTTTGGTGATTATGTTTTAAGTCCTATATGATTCATCTGATCCCCAGTAGACGTTTGGTTAACATGCCGTGCACTGTCATTTGCCAAACTGCTGGCAGCAAGAGCAGGAAGCTTAGTTGGTGAAGCAGTTATGTATTGTAAATACCCGAACTGTAATTTTTGGTGTACAGAACCCTGCCTCAGTTGGATCGAATGACAAAGCAGACATAAAATTGCTTGTATAGGATTATCAGGTTGACTATAGCCATACTTGAAGATGCTTCTGAGTGGTGTCAACTTTACTTGAATGAATTTTTCATCTTGATTGACGCACAGTGGTATAAAGTTCACTTCTAAAGCTAGTGGTTAACTTGTGTAGGAAACTTTAGCAGTTTGACACTAAGGTAATGAACTTCTGTGTGCATTTTCTATACTTATGTTCTACTTTTTTTTTTTTTTTTACTTTAGTTTCATTCATTTTCATGAAATGTTTGGTATGTCTATAAAAAGAATCTGAGGATGGTTATAAATACTGTAAGTATTGTAATGTAATGCAGGTTATTTGAAAGCTGTTTATTATTATATCATTCCTGATAACGCTGAGATGTGGGTGTTTTTAATAAAATTTATATTTATTTAATGCACTCTAAGTCTGTCTTGGAGAACCTTGTCTTTCCCTGTCACTTTTATCAGTCAGCAACAACAGCAGCGTGCCGAAACCGGAGCCCTAGTGCCAACCACAGGCCAGGAGCCCTGCAGGGACCGGATGACAATTAACAGGGCTGGGGAAGCTGCTAGCTGGAGAAATTAAAGCTGGTATGAGAAACAAAGGAAGCTGCATACTTCAGCAGCCTCGAAATTGAGCGCATTGAGTGCTGCACGGGGATACAGCCTTTCCTGAGCTTCAGAAGCAGCAGGAAAGAAGCAGGCCCAAACTTCTCAGCAAGGCATCCACGCACACCGCACTGTTTCAGCCCCCCTCTGTCCTCCTCAGCTGCAAAGCTTAAATGAAACACATCATCAGGCTCCACACCAGGAGACCCAGACACCAGGCTTATTGCTAGGTCTGCTCTGACTCCAGCCTTTAAAGATTTCAGGCACTACTATTTCAGCACAGGCTACTGCTAAATAAAATCCGTGGCTGAAGTGATGGAGGGAGGTGTTTTTAGGGACAGGAGGAGGCTGTAGAGCATCATTGCTGGCTTCTTCCTGGTATCTGTGGACATGAATGTGGCACACTCACTGCTGGAATCTGCTTGCTGCTCAGGTAACAGCCACGGATACACACCTGGCAGAGGCAGGACAAGGGGGAGTATGGGGTTCAGATGGGTTTTTGGGTGTTTATCTCATGTTTAGGCATTTTTCAGTTGGTTTCTAATTACTCCAAGTGTCAGGATGCTCCAGTGGATAGTACTAAGAAACAGTAAAATGATAAAATAAAATCTCATGTGTAATTTAAATCAAACCATCTAGGGAAAAAAAAAAAAAAGCAGTAAGAAAAGATGCCTAAATGAATACCAGGACACAAGTTGCGGGCACTAGACAAAAAGCATATTTTCACAGTCCCTTCTTTTAACTTCAAGGGATGTCAGGACTGAAACCTGCAATATTCTCCCCTGTGAGAAGAGGCAGAAATTGCTCTCTCTGTGGCTGCAAAACGGCGCTGCGACAATCAGCACTTTCATGCTTTTCAGGCTCGCTTTTTTGAAGCCCCCAGGTCTGCTGTCAACCCCGGTTACCCCATCCATCAGTGCTGTGCACCTCGGGAAAGCCCCCGCGCTCCCTACATTTATATGGCTAAGCGTCTTGGGGAATCAGTGATTTAAAACTCAGGAAAGCTGTGATGTTCACCCCTGGCTCTCGGCATATTCCCAGACGGGAACGTCTCGAGGCAGGCGAACCCACCGCGGCAGCCAAGTGTTGCTCTTTGCTGTGCGCAGGTGCACTTTAATGCATTAGACAGCTGGAACTGACAGATGCACTAGCTTTAACAAAAGGTCTAGCACCCCTTTAGCCTTCCCAGGAAAAAGTCCTGCCACTAATGAACGTTCCCACCGGCTGCCTTTTCACGTAAGCAGCTCTCTTCAGCGCACTTCTTGACAGATCTCGCTTCAGAGGCGCCGCTAACAATGTGCAACCCTCCCCGGTTGAGGCCAAAGTCAAATGGTACCTGCTTAACCGCGCTGCTCCCACAAACATGCCGCAGTCTGCTCCTGTCTCAGCTGCCTGTGACCAAGGTACCACCTCCGTCAGCCCCCAGACCGCAGGGACCAGCCCTCAGAAAGGAGCTGCACCCGGGGGCACGCAGCTGAGCAGCCAGCTCCCACAGGTAGCTCCTGCCTTGCTTTTCCTTCTCTTCATCTTCTGTTTGGCTGTTTCCTGCCTTGACGCCTCAGAGATGCAGAAGATGATGTATTTTTAATATTTTTTTTTTAATGGGAATGACCAAAGTGGCTATGACAAGCCAAGCCAGGCAGGAACAAACCCCAGGCAAATTTAAGAGCAACACCTGGTTTGCTCAAAGACACAGGAAGGTAGCCAGCATGGAGGAGCGGGGAAGAAACAAATAGGCGAAAGGTTTTACCTCTGCAAAATAAATCACCTTACAAGAGAAGGCACGGATTAAGAAGCGCTAGTTTCTCTGTCTGCACTTTTAACCAGTACTTTAAAATACTAATTATGACGTTTTAAAAAGCCAGATCTTTCATTCAAGTAGGTCTCAAAGCACAGAAACAAGACCTTGGATTTAAAGGCGAAGCCTGTGCTTGACGCAGCCTCACAGTAGAGCTTTTAGGAACACACAATTGGTTTGTTGTATCTCTGCTCGGAGAGTACAGCAACACACCTACCTACAGAGCTGCCAGGCAGGGATCTTGGTGACTTGCACACTCGTGTGACAAGTGCCACGCCAACCTCACCGCAGCCTGCTGACAGCCAAGCATCCACCGATTTTAATCGTGGTGCTCCCAGCACATCCCAGCAGTAACTCACCCTGCTGTTTAACTGGCGCTGCACCATTTTTTCCTGAAGAACATGCATCTGTCACATTTCTCTTACACCCAGCTACACGTACCTAGTGCGGACGTAACCAACAATTTCAGGGCATTCAGCAACTGACCATTTCGCCTGAGGACTGACAGCTTTAGCCCCTGCTCCTCCCCTGAGCTACAGCAACTGTTCTCCCTCCAGCACCGCACCAGCCACTCTGTTTTCCAGCTGAGCTTATGTATTAAGCGGGTCCCTTTACTTCAACCTGTAAATGATTCCCTGAGTTGGTTTAATTAGGGCAGATACTGTACTAGGAGCAATTCCTGCAGAACTTGCAAAGAAGTCAATCAGCTCCGTGTTTTCCTTGCCTCACCTCTGACCTGCAAAGGGAGTACCTGGTATGTGTGAAGTTAGCACAGACCGTGCTGCTGATTACAAATCCTCCTGTTTAGAGGGAGGGGAAGAAATTTGCACTGGAATAAGTAACAAACAGGGAGATAGCTATTAACAACCTACTATCCTGCCATCCTTTCTGATCAGCAGAGGAAAGGAGGGCTTGATGCTGCGTGCCTGAATCGCATTCTGAGCCCCAAAGCACTCGAGCCCCAAACAACATGGTCAAGTCACCCCGTTATCAGTGGGGTGCCAGCAGCCCCAATCCCTGTGAGCACAGGAGGGGTGCCCAGATGCCAGCCATCAGGAGAGGGGTCACACACTTCCCGCTGGTCCCAGCCACCAGACAAGAGCTGGCCTGGGGGCTGGCAGGAGCAGCTGGCGGTGGTGGTTCAGCTTTCTCTTCGCTTCCACCGCATTAGCGAGAGGAACCTTGCTGGATTTTCAGGCATAATCATCTTCCTCTTTATTTTTCTGCTCCCGTTGTGATTATTTGTAGAAATGACAGCACCATTATCTTCCTGTATGTAAGCCTTCACGGAGGCCACTTTGGTAAAGAGATTTAACTGGAGGGGATGGCTTAAAGTGCAGCCTGCTCTGAAAAGGGCTGGGGAAAGTGGCATCCTGGGGCTCCCAGCCTGCATTCCAATTACCGTCACAGCAAACGTGGCTGATTTAGACGGGGGGGTGGCATTTTTCCACCTCTATCCCCCAAAAGAGGCACCAGATTTCCTGCAACCAGCCCTTCTCCCCACCTGCACGGCCCGAGCTCTGCTGACATCTGGACGGGCGTGAAGCTGGTCTGAAATTCAGCCCTCACTCATGGCAGCAAATGCTTTGCTAGGAGCAGAGGGAGGGCTGCCGTGGGGGCAGGTGAGATATGCCCAGCAAAGGGAAGACATCTGTTAGCTGTGCCCTCCACCACACCTGTTTTGGAGGTCCGGGCCCTCGCTGAAAGCCTCCAGGCTCCATATTATGGCTGCGTTTGAACCTCTGCAGCACCCACACAGCCTCTGTGTGGAGAAACACTGTGGATTTGCCATCTTGGTCATTTGCCCAGCAGCAACACACCGGAGCTGTAAAGAAGCGCGTGCAATTCAGGAATCCCAGCCCCGAGACGTGGTTTCCAGGTTAAATCGAACTGAAAACCAGATGTGCTTTTGTCGAGGAAAGCAGGTCAAGTGTAGCCACGAGGTTTCAGAGCTGCTGCAGCTGCTGCATGGAGAAAGCAGTGCCTCCTCCACCACATCCCGCACGCCAGCAGCTGCTTCCCTGGGGAACACAGGCGAGCAGAGAGAGCTGTACTTAGACCCCCTCCCAAAAAAAGAAGAAAATCTTACAGAACCTTGCTGGAGAGCTGTGTTAGAAAAGTCTAAAGGAGACCTGAGAAGTCTGCATGCCCCTCTTTTAGAAGGGCTTAAGCATTACACCTCGTGCTGGTAAAAACAAACCAAAGAGGCTTGCTGCCTTTTGCTGCCTGCCTCCTTGCTGCTGGAGCACAGGTTAAGCAGTGCCCAGACACTGTCTGATGCGTTGAGGGGCTTCCTGCTCATGGCTGTTCCCAAAGGGCCCCTGCTGAAGGGCAGACAAAGTCCCTGCTTGTTCAGTTAACTCTGATCAATCAATTGCATTTAAGAAGAGAGATTTAAGTTACACGTGACCTCTTGCCACAGGAGCTGGAAAGCCATCTCTCGCCCACCAAACAGGCAGACGTTTTCCAAAAATGCAGCTGGGTTCCTCTTAAGAAGCACGGTCACCACGTTTAAACTACTGCCATAAGAGACTGAGGCCCTTGGTACACGGGGTACGGAAGGAGCAAGAGGGTCCAACATGTCCCTGTCCTCAAGGAATGAGTTGCTCCTGATGCTCAGCCTAAGTTATAACCGTGTATTTGCTGGGCCAGAGGGAGAGAACTACGCCTAAGGGGAAGCATGACTTTGTGGTGTGGGAACAGAGAGCTCTGCTGCCTGTTCTCATTTCTGCACGTGGATGTGATCTTCACGCTAACCAGCACACTGAGGGACAGTGCTCAGCGACAGCGCCTGACCCCAGCTTGACTTCACCAAGAAGCACCTTCCCCACGAGGTCCCCTTCTTCCTTTTCCAGCTATGCTTTAAAATTGGCCGAAACAGAGAAATTATGTTCATCAGAAGCCCAGCTGCCCTGAAAAACCAGCATGTTTTGGTCAGAACTTGGGCAGAAGAACACTTTGTTTTGGGGTCAGGGCACGCTTCTTTAGGAGCTACGTAGTGGGACTCCAAAT